AAAGGCTGCTGGAGGGGAAGGATGGGGAGGGGTGGTGCAGGAGTGAGGCTGGGCTGGTGGGGGCTAACAGGGTGGGAGGGTTGGCTAGCACAGTGATGCTGGAAGTGATGGAGATGATGATGCTGTAGGTTTGGGTAGAGAGAGAGCTGAAATGGGTGTGGATGGCAGCACCGGCAAGGCTGGAGGGTTGGGAGAGATGGCTGGGATGATGGTGGCGTTTGTGGCTTGGCTGGGGATGGAAGGAGGTGGGGATGGAAGAAGGTGCAATGCGGGGCTGGTAGGGAGAGCTGGGAGTGGTAGGAATGCTGGAGGGACAGCGATGCTGGCAGAGCAGGGATGCTGGTGGGACAGGGATGCTGGCAGAGCAGGGATGCTGGTGGGACAGGGATGCTGGTGGGACAGGGATGCTGGTGGGACAGGGATGCTGGTGGGACAGGGATGCTGGTGGAACAGGGATGCTGGCGGAACAGGATGCTGGCGGAACAGGGATGCTGGCGGGGCAGGGATGCTGGTGGGACAGGGATGCTGGCGGAACAGGGATGCTGGTGGGACAGGGATGCTGGTGGGACAGCGATGCTGGCAGAGCAGGGATGCTGGTGGGACAGGGATGCTGGTGGGACAGGGATGGTGGCGGGCGCGGCGCTGCCGGTCCCGGCGCGACTCACCGACGCTGGCCTCCCCGATGGTGTAGGTCTTGCCGGAGCCCGTCTGCCCGTAGGCGAAGACGGTGGCGTTGAAGCCGCGGAAGAAGGCGCGCAGCAGCGGCTGGACGCAGGCCCGGTACACGGCCGCCTGCCCCGCCGCCTCGGGCAGCACGGCGGCGAAGCGGAACCGGCGGCGGCCCAGCGACACCTCGCCGGTGGCGGCATCGCCCCGCAGGCAGGGCCGGTGCCCCCGCAGCGCCTCCCGGGGCAGCAGCGGCCGCACCCGCACCGCCACCCGCACCGCACCCCCATCCGCCGCCATGGCCGCGCCGGGCGCCCCGCGATGGCGTCAAAGGCTCCGCCCGGGCAGGGGAGGGAGGGAGAGAGGGAAGGGAGGATGCGGAGGGGTCGGGCGGACGGTCCTCTCCAACCCCCGGGCGGCACCCGGGAGAGAGCGACCAGGGGGCAACGGGGGATACGGGAGAGCTGCGGGGGCTGTGTGGCGGGTCCGGGCAAGCGGTGGGTGCTCCCGAGGAGCTCCGTCGCTCCAGAGATGCTCCATCGCTCGGGAGATGCTCCATCATTCGTAGGATGCTCCATCACTCACAAGGGACTCCATCCCTCGTGCGGTGCTTCGTCACGTGTGGGACAACGCTCCGTCAGTCGTGAGATGCTTCATCTCTTGTGAAACAATGTTCCCAACCCCTTGAGATGCTCCGTCACTTACAAGGGGCCCCATCTCTCATGAGATGCTCTGTCCCTGATGAGACCCCAGCACTTGTCAGACACTCCTCCACTCCTCACGGGCATTCCCACGAATCGCCGTGGGGAAGAGACAATGGGCTACGTGGCCCTGCCAAGGGGCAGAGTGGTCGAGGTGCAGGCGTGGGCACCTCCTGGGATGCAGTTTGCGGAGCAGCTGGTGCAGACAGCCGGAGCTTCCCGGCCGCCTGCCGCGCCGGGGGCTGGCACGGCCGGCTCCAGGCACTGACGCATGTTCAGGACAGTCTGAGCGATGACAAAGTTTTTCATCCGGCTGCCTGCAGTTCCCTCTGCACCGCCCCTGCGGCTGCGGGGAGGGGTATGGTCCTCGCGGGTCCCCTGGGTGCCGTGGGAAGCACTGGACTGTCGGCTGTGCCGAGAGGAGTTGTACACACACTGCTGGGACTGCTGGAGAGCCACGGCCACGCTCGGAATGGGGCTCCGGCTGCCTCTGCGCCGGAGCACCAGCTTCACCCCCGACCACCCTGCCCTCATGGAGGTGCCTGGCCCCACTGCCCTGAAGATGGAAGCAAACGTCCTTGTTATGGGAGCGGACAATGTGGGGAAATCAGGTGAGCTGGGAGCACGGAGTTCCCAGGCTGTAAACTGCAGCAGTGTTTGGAGGATCAGCTGCAGGGAGCAGCCTGTGGAGCAAACTGGTGAGATGGGGCTGAGCCCTTGTGATTTGAGGTGGGGAAGGTGAGCACAACCTTGTAGGCATCTGCTGAGTGACAGGGAAGGTATTTTCCACTGAGCTGCAGTTTGCTGATGCTGCGGGGTCGTGTCTGTGCCTCTGCTCTGCTCGCAGACTGCTCGTGGCTGGCAGAAAAGCAGAGGTCGTTTATGCTGTTGGAGTTTACAGGGGCATAGTGCCTGACTCTGCTCTGGATCTAGAAAGGAGAATCCTTCTGGTTTGGGGTTATTCTGGTGATTCTTGTCTTTCCCTCTGCAGCTCTGACTGTGCGCTTCCTGACCCGGCGCTTTATCGGGGAGTATGGAGACATGGGTGAGTGCCAGGCCATGACCAGGCTGGTTCCCATTAGGGACTGGGGTCAGGAGGCAGTCCTGCTTCTGCCCACAGGATTTCCTTCCTGCCCATCCTCTCCTGCCTTTCTCCAGAGCCTTTGCCTGCTTCCAGAGCCTCAAAGGTTGTATTTATTCACTGAACCATCTCTTTGCTCCAGAACTGATTCTCTGGGCTGCAGAAGGTCCTGGGTGGCATCTGGTGACACCATGAAGATGACTTTTTTTTCTTTTTGGGGGGGGGCAGAATTCATCTACAGCCACAACATGACAGTGGATGGCCGAGAGATTCTCTTCCACATCTGGGATGCCCCCAATTCTCAGGTGAGAGGACTCCACTCCTGTCACCCATTTCCACCCCAGTGACGAAAACCCCCTTTATTGAAAGTTGCCTATGGGAAACCACAGGCTAGGAGCTCTAGCTGAGCAAAGCTCACACATCAGAGGTGACCAAACCCTTCTCACCTGCCGAGCACGGGGCAGCAGCATTGCTGGCAGGGTAGCAATAGTCAGTGTAGCCTATGGTCCTGTGGCTGAGGACTGAAGCTGGAGCACTAGAGTGAGCCCAGGACTGTGCTAGAGGAGTGGAAATGCTACTCTGAGGTCCCCATGCTGTTTTCACGTACAGCCTGCAGTGCTTGGCAGCTGGGTGAGGAGGTGAGGACAGTGATGCTGAAGGCCAAATTGTCTCCCTTGGCGAGGTCTGCCAGGTGCTGCTCTGCCTTCCCCAGTACTCCTCTTTCTCTCTCCCCTTTTGCTGTTTATTAGGCTCAGGATTGGTGCACTCTCTTCTAGCAGGTAGTTGGGGAGGGAGAGAGCCAGATAAAAAAACCCTTCCTTTTCTCTTTCCCCAGGAGCAGACAGAGGATGGCTCCTCAGAGGAGAAGCGAATCCAGTGGGCAGACAGCTTTGTCCTGGTCTACAGTATCTGCGACCGTGCCAGTTTCAACATCCTGCCCCTTAAAATCCAGTTCATCAAGGCAGCCAAGGAAGGGCAGAGCCAGGAGAAGGTGCCCATCATCATTGTGGGCAACAAACGGGACCTGCACCACCAGCGGGTTGTGTCCAGCGAGGAGGGTCGGCTCCTCGCCCTCTCTTTAGACTGTGGTTTCTATGAGGTCTCTGCAGCTGAGGCTTATCATGGAGCCCTCATGGTCTTCCATGGACTGGCCAAGCGCATCCCAGACACCAAACTGGCACTGAAAAAGGGTACAGGGATCCGTGGCATCGTCAAGACCATGTCGGCTGTGTTTACCCGCAAACGAACGGACTCCCTCTGAGCTACAGTGTGGATGTTGCTGCTCTCTGTGCTGCCCAGCTGGGCCAGGCCTCCTCCCTGTGTGCCCATGGAGGTGGTGTGTGTCTTTCCATAAGTATGATGGGTTCCTTGCTGTCCTAATGTCAGGGTCTGGGTGTCCTGCCATATACAGCCAACGCAGCCAAGGACTGAGTGCATTACTCTTGGCTCTGTGACAGGACAGAATCTCTACTCTCTGCTGTACCAGCTTTTTAGGTGCCTCCTGCTTATTCCTGCTATCCTCCAACACTGGAAACCACCAGGTGATTTTGCCACAGTTCCAGGCAGCAGCATCCCCAGCTCCTGCTGCAGGAGCTGCCCAGGCCATCGTTGAGCAGGGGCAACACGCTGCTTCTGTACAACACGCTACTCCTTGTCTCTCCACTCCTACTCTGGCATCCTTATTCCTGTTTAATGCTCATCAGCACCCATGAGCTGGCAAGCTGGGGGGTTTCTCCACTGGGAGGCACTGGCAGTTCTCACGTGTGTATCACTGTGCCAGCAAGTCCCAGAGCCCAGGCACCGACTGACCCTGGAGGTCCTCGGCAAGGGCTGAGGCCTCCTATCCCACCCGCCTTGCTTTTGAACCGTCCTCTCTCCCACAGCCTTTCAGTGATCACAGCCCTTTCCCTTGTGTGAGTGAGTGCTCAACAGGCTGTGCCTGGGAAAAAACAGGCACTGGGCTTGTTCCCAGGATGGGAATCGCACCACAGCCCTTCCCAAGCCACTCCTTCTGTAAGGCTGCCTCTCCTTGGGGAGGAAAGGAGGTGGGGAAAGGGGTCTCTGAGCTTGTGCTGAACCCTTCTGCTGCTGGGAGGCTTTTCCTGCCTCTCTCCAAACCCTTCCCCTCATTCCCTGGGAAAACAGTGTGTTGGAAGAAGGTTTGTGTGTGCTGTATGGACACTTGATTTCTCTGCTGTGTTCTTCTGGAAATGCAATAAATTGTCTTTGGCAGGAAGCCCTGGCTCCTTGGAGCTGTGAATTCATACTTGGGGCATGGAAAGAAACACGTACTGTGCTGGGCATGAGCACCCACTGTCCCTGTGGCAGCTACCCGAGGGTGTTTCCTGCATCCACTCCCTTGGTCCTGGTTTGGGGGTTTCACCCCACTCTGTTCCCTTGGTTTGGTGTCTCATTCCCATAAAGCAGCCGAGCAGACAGGGTTGAGCGGCAGGTGGGAAGATTTATTGTTGCAGTGAATACAAAATGGTGGTGTGGGAAGCCAGGCGATCCTGTGCGAGAGGGGCTCCAGGAGCTCCATCTGTTTTCATCAGTCATTTTTCTGACCCCACCATCTATCCCACTAAAAACTGGGAGGGAGGTGCCCTGGGCTTTCCTACTCGTGAATCCTGCTGGTCAGTGGGGATCTTCAGCCCCTCCATGGAGGAGCAATCTGTGGCCAGGGATGGAGCCTGCAAGGGGAGATGGAGGCAGGAAGGATGGGGAACCAGGCTTGCTATGGTGGTTTGATGGCTTTGCTGTCCTCCCTGCTCTCTCAATGTGAAGCCCGTCTAAGTCCATGCTATCTGCTCAGTAGGAACCAGGCTAAGCCAGTGCTAGCCCTGGCTGGTTCCTTTTCCTCTTTTCTGATCTCACCACTCTTTCCATATCTCCTTTGCCTCACTGCTCCTCTCTGGTCCCACCTCCCCCTGCCTTCTCCTTCCAGCCGCAGGGCTTTTGTTTGTCTTTATTACCTCATCCTGACCTTGATGCACTCTGGAATAAGACATCCCATGGCCTGTCTACCACTTTAAGCTCCTGTCCTGGTACAGGGGTGTGTGTGGGCAGCTGGCAGGGGCCTGGGCAAAGCGTGCTGTGGGAGGATTAGAGGGGGGCTGGGATGTGCTTGTTCTCCCCACTGGCTCAGTCCTTCTTGAAGACAGGAGTGTAGAGGTTGCTGTAGTAAGCCCGGCTGTACATGGACTCGGGGCTGAAGCGGTAGGAGCCCTCACTCACCCGCCTGTTGTAGGGGGAGAAGGCGGATTTCCGTGGGAAGGGGTACTCGGGCTCGAAGGCAGGGCTGCGGTAGTAGTTGTGCCGCAGGAAGAGGGGGTCCTCGAGCCCCAGGAAGGAGAGAGGGTGATGGCCACGGTACATCCGCCAGTCACCTCTCAGCTGGGATTTCTCCTCAGCGGAGGGGGCAGCAGCCTTGGTGTCCTCCTTCTCTTCCTTCTCCTCTGTCTTCTCCGGGTCGGATTTGCTGCCCTTGGGTGCCTCCGCTTCCTTCACTGACTGCCTGCGGAGCTGAGAGGTGGGGTGAGGACCCAGCCAGGCTGTACCCACCTGCCAGCCCTGTTCTACCTGTGCCACACAGTCCCCCACCCTAAACTGGGAGAACCTCAAGATAAGCCAGTTTGCCCCCAGAGGGGCAACCCCTGAGCAGCTGTGGTGGAGAAATGATCCCAGGGGAGCAACAGGGTGGGGTAAAGGAGAGGGGACATAGTCTCAACCTGAACTTGCACCTTCCCAGATGTGTGAAGGTGACACCACTGTCCATCCTGTTGTTTCTATTGGGGAACTCACTGCCACAGCCTGGGGGATGCTTCAGGAGGAGGGTGGGACTGAGGTGTCCTCACAGCACTCCCTCTCCCCACTCTGGTAACTCCTGACTTTGCCTGGAGTTATGAGATGCTCATGGGAGGAGGCTGGGCAAAATGGGGTTTGCTGGAGAGGAACAGGACCCGGCTGGGGACAAACTCACCGGCACGAAGCTGTACAGGGTGCCCAACAGATGCTTAGGGGCACTGACGAGGGTCCCCCCAAGAGCGTCCACTGTTTCCATGGCCCTGGACAGCCTGCGGGGGGTGAAGAGGATCAACCCCTCTGCTGCATCCCAGGCCACAGCTGGGACCTTCCTCACGGTGGAGATGCTGGAGGCGCAGGCGTTTTGCAGGTTGTGAGCCACGCTGCTTACCAGCCCGGGGTCCTCCCCTGCCTGCCAAGAGAAACCAGCTCAGCTCTTGATCCTGGCCCCTTCCCCACTGGCCCCTTCGGACAGGACAGGGTGGCCCTGGGCTCCCCTTCCCAGCTCAGAGACTGAGTGCTTTCAGCTCTGCAAGAGCCACTGCAGCCCTTTGCAGCAGGGTCGCTTCTTGTCCCCGCCAGCTCCCCACCCCCTCCAGGCCCCCGGGGACCCTCTGCTCCAGGCTGTGCTTCCGCTGCAGGCAGAGGCGAAGGGCAGTGACCCCAACCTGCCGCTTCCCGTCCCCACGTCCCAGCGGAGCCGATGCCGGAGACTGTTCCCAGCCCCACCGGCTCACACCACCCCTTGCTGCTGGGTCCGTGGCGGGGGGGCTGGTTTCAGGAGTGTTCTGGGGCTCATTCGTGAGCTCTGTGCTGACACCCCACAGCTGCAAAGGAATACTGAACATACAAGCCAGGGTGACCCTGCCTGGCACAGAGGCTGCTCTCAGCCCCCAGCCTTGGGGAATCAGGGAAGAGGACTGCTGGGGCTGCTCCGCTGCCAAAGCCCCCCAGCTCATCTCCTCCAAGCTGCAGTTCAGGGTTCAGCAGGGATGGGGGCCTGGTCCACAAGGGTATGGGGCAAACAACCTCCATGCTGGCATGGTCCATGGGTAGGAGGATGTTTTGGGGCATCCCTAGCTCACTGGCCTCCTTTTCTCCATACCTTGCTGTGGTTGTTGTCTTTCTTCCCCGCCTTCTCCTGCTTCTCCTCCGGTGCCTTGCTCTGCCGCCGGCTCAGCCAGCCACCCGTGCTGCTCTGCCCATCACTGCGGGCTGGTGGCGCCGCGGGTACGCTGGGCTTGGCCAGGCTGCCCTGGAAGAGCAGCAAAAAGCCATCTCTCAGAGGGAGCTGGCAGGTCCCAGTCACTCCATCCTGCTTAGCCTGAGGATTTTACAGGGGCCTTGGGGTGCACAGGTGCAGGGAGTTCATTTGTGCACCCTGGGGGAAACTCCGAGGGCAGAGAGGAGCTCTGGGATTTTGGGACAGGCTAGGGAAAGGATTCCCACTGCAGCACAGGGTAGGAGAGGGGCCTCCTTCTCCCTATCCCCTCTGGGTCTCTGCATGGGCTCTTTGCTTTAGGAAGGATGTTATGGCAGTGCCATAAATCAACAATTATACACTGGGAGTCTGCTAAAAATAACTTGTCCCACTGATGTGGTACATGGTTGTGTGTGAACATCACGCAGGAACCAATGGCCCCACCTTGTCCTGCTGAGCAGGAGAAACATACTCTGTGCTTGGATTTGCTCCAAGCTGCCTGCAATGTCTCGTGTGAAAATCAGCCCAAAAGAGGGTATAGGGGAGCAGGAACCCAGAAGGTGGGATTTGGCACTCACCACAATGGGGATCCAGGTGACCAGCTCCTGCCCTTTGGTTTTGACACGCTGGAGACTTTGGGTGGTTTGCTGGTAAGCACGGTGGGAGACCGTGCTAACCAAGGCACCAATCCGGCCCAGGGTGTTGGGAGAACTGGGAGTGCTGGGTGCACTGGGTGTGCTGGGAGCACTGGGAGCACTGGGAGCACTGGCAGTGTTGGCAATGCTGGCAGTGCTGGCAGTGCTGGCTTGCTGCTGGGAGACCTTTGCTGTTGACTGATGTTTCTTTTTGGGCTTCTGATCTAAAAGGCAGAAAAGCACAGGCAGGAGAATTGTGGAAAGGTTACAAACTGATGGGACAACCCTCCTAGGCAGCCCTACACCAAAATCCAGGAGCTGCCTCCTGCCCCATGCACCCCACAAGTGAGGAGCCGCCAAACCAGCCATCACCAGACACCCTCAGAGGGGATTTAGGCATCAGGACTACCTGCTTCTTCATCCTCCTCTGGCAGCAGGTACTCCATCAACTTCTCCAGCCCTCCCAGGGCCGTGTCGACCCCCGCAGCTGCCATCTGGGTCACCGAGTTCTTCCTTGTGTACTTTGCTGTTGTTTCCACCGTGTTCTTGGTAGCCTCATAGCCTTCTGCTGCCAGTTCTATGATCTTATCCATGGAGCTGCCAATGGTGCTTTTGGCACTTTGGAGGGGGTAGGAGATGGTGTCCTTCAGTTCAGATGCAAGCTGCCAGCAGAGAGGTGGAGAACAGCCTGGTTGGTGAGCTTGGGGTGGCATGGGACAGCTGGAGGGACCACAGGGACCCCAGCCATAGCCATGCCAGTAAACAGCTCTGAGAGGGGCATAGCAGCTCTCTCTGGCCTGGGCTGGAAGTAGCTGGCAAGGATGGGACACAGGACATTTTTGACCTGTATCTGGGAGCCTTCACTTAGAGAGGCTGCCTTGTTTTCCACCCTGCAGCCCCTCACCGTCCAGAAACAAGACCAGAGAAGATGCGCTGTGGGCTCTGCCGTGGGACTGGGGGTCCCAGATGACCCTGCCTGTGACTTACCTTGTCAACAGGATACTGCAGGGCAGGGATCTTCTCCTCCAGGTGGTCCAAGCCCCGGCAAGCCAGGTTGTTTGCCACAGCGACTACCTTGGGCAAAAGCACAGTAAGAAAAGTACCCAGGCTGCCCAGGCACATGCTCGTACCAGCACTGTCCCACCAAGGGAGGCTCTGGTGGGCACCCCTGCTGTGCCCCCCTGGCACTGGCACTCACACTGCGGCTCCAGCTTGCGCACCACGGGCTCCATGCCCCACATGGCCAGGGCACCGGCGCCCTGCACGCCCCGCTCGTACACCTCACACACCGAGGCCATCAGCGGGTGGGCCTCCTTGGTGCTGGTGTAGGTCCGCTGGAGGCTCTCACAGGTCGAGCTCACCACTGGCAGCTGCAGGACCCTCTGCAGCACGTTCTCCTGCACAGCAGATGGGCATCAGTTAGCAACAGCCTTTCCATGAGGAATGCCCCATCACCCACACTCTGGAGGCATTTGATGTGTTCCAGTGAGCACAGGGGACCTTGGCTTGCACTGAAGAAGGCCATTTCTCAAACCCCATTGAGGGTCTCCCAGCTATGTCCTGTAAGATACAGCCATGGACAGCAGGCTGGCTGCTGCCACTGAAGGAGCAGGGACATGACAGGCAGTGTTGGAGGGGTGACAGTCCCTACTCCTCCCATCTCCCAGGCCCAACTGCCTGGGTGCTCCCTCTGGCTTTCCACCCTGGTGGAAATCTCCATGTCTGGTGGAGGTTTGGGGCTACAGTGTGGCTATGGATGAAGGACAGGCACTGCTGGCAGCTGTCACCCAGGGCTCACATCAGCTCAGCGTTAACCTTTTGGAATCTGAACTCTCTAATTTCAAGTAAAAAGGTTTATTATTTCCCTTCAATGGTGCTCTATACTATTGCAGGTAAAGACCCATACAGACACAGTGACATGTGGGACGGTGTGAGATGTGACTGCTGTTCACCTGGCAGAGTTGGTATGTGCTACCTGGCCCCCTTGGCACACTTCTGCCCTCTCCTCTCTCCCTCTTCCCGCACCCACCTTGGCACTTCCATTCTGCAGAGTCTGACTCTTCTTCACTGTCATCGTGGCGCATCCACCTGCAAAGCAAAGTTGGGAGCCGCAGACCCCACTGCGAAGGCAGGGCTGTGCTCAGGCTTCCCCCCTCAGTCCTGCATCCCTCCAGGCTGGGCTGAGACACACACGTCCCACGGGTGCAGTGGATGTCACATTGCCCAATGCTTGACTTTTTACCAGTTAAGCTGTAAAACCAATGCCTCCACCCAGCCCTCCCCTGCTAGTGTGTCCTAACACCTAAAGATGCACAAAATGAGCTGAGAAGCATCTAGTTAGCAGTAGTTACAGTATAGACAGGATAAAGGGCATTGGCAAAGCAAAGTCAGAGTAACCAGGGTGCTGACAGATGTGCATGAGAATAGACTCAGGCTGAGGAAGAGCAGAGAGAAGAGCCGTGGATAGGGATGTGGTGAGATGTCCAGCTGAGGTCAGCATCCCCTCATACATCTGCTGTTTGTAATGCCAGTGCCTGCTCCTGTGCAGCTCCAGCTTGATGCAGGGGACAAAAGCACTGCAAAACATCCCCCTCCACTGCTCCTGGTTGGTGACAGCTGAAAGCACAACTCCAGCTCCCAGCCCCAGCACAGGCTCCATTTTCTTAGCAGCAGATGAAGTTCTGGAAATCTAAAAAGAGTGAGTGATCCCTGCTTTCATCCCCCAGTCCCACTGAAGCTGTGGGCACAGGCTACTCACTGAGGGGCAGCCCGTTTCCAGGAGAGCAGGAGCAGAGGTTGGTGGCTGCACTGTTCCTTCACCCCGGTCCTCTGAGGGTGATGCTCTGTGCTCTGGCCACTACCACCACCACGAGGCCCCACCTCCCTGTTGCGTGGGTTTGGGAGCTGACAGACTGTGGTGGAAACTGGCCAAAGAGTTCCCTGAAGCCACTGTAATTGGGAACAGATGACGGCAGAAAATCCCCTTTGTCGTCTTCCCTGCCCAGCCTGTGGTACAGCTGGGATGCACGGGGATTTAACACCACTCCTTCAGGAGATGAGGAGAAGCTGCCTTTGGACTTCACCAGCTCAAAAGCAACAGATCATGAGCAGACAGGGAGAAGGTGAAGAGTCAGGCAGAGTTTCCTAAGATATTAAAACCTTCCTGCTTTTCTGTAGCCCCTGTTTTGCTCCATGGTGGACGAGGATATTATCCCCTGCTGGGAGACCTAACACAGACCAAGAATGTAGTTTCTCCCCAGGAGAGCTTATTGAGCATAAAGAGCAGAAGGCAGATGTAGGGGACACATCCATCTAGTTTGGCCAGGTCTGCAGTTTCTAAGAGGATTCATTGGTCTTGGTGAGGAGGTTTTTAGCTGAGGGTCAGGGCAGACACTGCATTAGGAAAGCTCTAGGCATTTGGACTATACAGAAATGGAGGAAAAAATCAAGTTGGAATTGATCTCTGGAGGTTACCTTACTCCACTCTTACTCAAAAGTAGGGCTACCTCTAAAGGTAGATCAGGCTGCTTAAGATCTTCAGTACTGAAAATCTCCAAGGACAAGATTCCTATCTCTCTGGGACTTACTTATGCTAACTATATTAACAGTAAACTAGCTTTTCCTTATGTCCAGATGGAATTTTCTCTCTTGCAATTGGTGCCTGCCATCTTCTACCTTTGCTCTGTGCACTTCTGAGCAGTTTGTGCTCCAGTCAGTGCTGGTACAGCATGTGCTCCATGCCTCTAAATGTCTTATCCTTTCAATAATTGATCCTCTGCTGGACTCTAGTCAAGATCTCTCCCGTGCTGGTGGGTCCAAAGTATGACACAGTTTCCCAAATGTGGGCTCACAAATGCTTCATAGAGGAACAACTGCCCTCCTTGACCTGCCAGCAACTAAAATGCTGCTCTTCCACGGCCTTGCTGAACGGGAGGCACACTGACTACTCACTCCATCATTAACAAATCCATTTGTGGTACTGACTGGAATAAGAAAAGACATCACCTGCATAGAGCTATACCAGGTCTTGGTTAGTGACTACAGAGACCAAGGATGAGCCACACTGATGAGACAAGGACAACAAAGAGGACAAGTGCCAGAGGACAAGGCAGTAACCAAGGGGGTCAGAGTGATCCAGGCAGCCTGCTAACATGGGGCTGTTGTGTGTCCTGGACCACTCGGCGTGAGGCAGGGAGACCTTGGCATGTGGCTCAGAATGCCTGCAGCTTCCCACCACCCCTGTGCAGGACACAGAGGTGTGAACCCAACCTGACTCCATGGTTCCCTGCTCTGGACTGCGCTGCTGTACATAGGGGTGGGAGACTTCCCAGGGACATGGGAAAGCCACACACGGGAGGAAAATACCCCCCTTTCTTCCCAAAGAGCCCAGAGTTTGCTTCCAGCCTGGGACTGTGCAGAGCTTGCAGGGCTGCCTTGCTGGCTGGGTACAGAGGCACATGAATGTGCTGGGCTGCCTCCAGCTCGGTGCTGGGGTGAGTCCCTGCCCTACAGACAGTGGGACAAAGGGCACCAGCCTGCTCAAAAGTTTGCTTTCTTGGCACTGAGACTTTTTCCAGCCCTGCTGGCCCGGCTCAAAGGGCAGGGGGCATACCAACCTCCTCTCTGCCTTGGCTGGAGTCAGAGTCAACTGACAACACAGCCTTTGCCTTACTAATGCCTCTGCTGATCCCCTCCCCTTCCTCTGGGGCAAAGGCTGTGCCAGCCCCAGGCTCTGCAAGGCAAAGGTACCACCCCACCGCTCCAGCTCACACCAGAAATACTTCCTGTGCCCCTGGAGGCAACATTTAGAGTTCACTGGATCTGTGGGGTGCAGGGAAGCAGTTTCACACCCTTGCCTCTGCAGTCTGCTCTGTACCATTAACACACCACAGTGAGGGGGTGAGCCAGACCCTAAAAGTCCATCAAGGCTTCTTTACACTTTGGTCTGAGAGGGGGCTGGGGAGGTAACTCCATTTCCATGCAGGATCAGCAACCCCATAACCACTGCTGACACATGCCTGTCCAGCTTCTTTTTAAGCACTGCTTTCCAGGGCAATCTATTTAGAGTTTTATTTAATTTACAGTTCAAAAATTAAGTGTGATTTAATTCTTTTCTGCAATATAATCACATTACCTCCTGCATGGATTTAGAGACAAAATTATTGCCTTTCTCCTGGCAGAAAACCTTTTAGATACTTGAAGATCTCACACCCCCTCCCCCAGTCACTCTTCCTCTACAGAACTGGTTCATTTGGTGTCCCCCTGGAATTGTTGGTGTTTAACCTTTGATTGTTCTTGCCACTCACCTGGGAATCCTTGGGAATTCCCTGAAATATCATGCCAAGCACGGTGTTGGAAGGCCTTGTCTGTAAGCAGAAGATGATCACTCTTCTGCTGACTGTTTCCATTACAAAACGTGTAAAAGGCCACTAATCCAGAAGGAAACTCTTGCTAAAACATTGCTGAATGCAACGCCTTATACATTGTTCAGGAGCTGACATTTTGGAGCTTCCAAGTTCTCTGCAGGGGATAGGAGCTAACAGTAAACTCAGTTTAATGGTTATCCTGGCTCCATCCCTTGCCATCTCTGCTGGAGATGTTACCCTTTGCTCCCTGCTCTGAACTGGCATTTGTCATCAAATTATGGCCATCCAAATGAAAGACTGTTTATAAGATGCTGAAAATGAAGGTGCAGTCTTTCCTTTCACCATAGCTGTGCCTACGCTGGGCACAAGGTTCCAACCCTCGCTGCTGGTACCCAAGGGCGGCTGATGGCAATTCCCAAAATGTCATCTTGCTTCAGGGCATTCCACAGATGCAGTTTTATCTGACAGTCATATTTTTGCAGCTGAAATGGGGACTGTAAATTAGCCAGATGAATCTGGCTGCCACTTGGCTACTGCAGAAGGACAGCTCTAGAACCCAACCATAGGCAATGTCTCTTGAACGGTATCACCATAAAATTCAGAGGTGGGAGGAATCCTCCCTCCTTCAGCATATCTTTATACCACCAAGTTACACACACAGACATGGTCTCAACACTCATTGTAGTTTATTGCTTGTGTTCAAACATCTTGTCCTTATTTCAACTGCTGTATTAGAAACAGATACAAAAAAAGGCACTAAAAGGATTTTCTCCATATGATCATGATTCTATGATTTCAGTCACATTACATTAAGGTACCTTAAATCACTGGCCTCCAGCTGGGGAGCAGAAGGCAAATATTAGTGCTTAACATCCAGTAAACAGACTCCTCTTCCTTCCTTCCAGGGGAATGATGATCAAATCTGACTAAGGGAGGGATGGGTTCCACACTGCCAGGGGATCAAAGGCAAATGGAGAATGAAACAAAAAAAATTCCATTGTTATAAAGGAGAGGAAGCCCTTGAATACAATATATCCCATGCACAATGCTCCATTATGGCCTGAACTGCCAGTATGCTCTACTTTTAATGCTATTCATTTCCATATTAAAAAGAGGAGCTGCTGCAGGCCACATCTGGTCTTCAAGAACACTTAAGTATCCTGTCCAGCAACCTCTTTCTTTTCAAACACTTCATTGGCACGCTAACACTTCATATTCAAACTGGAAGTAATTCCAAGCCCAGCCACAATGACTTAAGGTAAACTGGGGCACTGCCTTACCTGCCTACTTAATTCCATAACCTTTGCCTTTTAATAAAGGAGACCAGCACCTTTTAATTTCTATTTTCAGATAGCATCAGAAGTAATAAGAGAACACTTTGGTCCAGGTAAGAGTAAGTCTCTGTTCACATCTCCTGACAAATTAAACAAGGAGTTCTTACACCAGAAAGTAGCAGAACACATAGGTCTAACTCTGATGAAGAAAAATGTTAATTTTATCTCCTATATAATGTGCATTTTTTTCTCAGATGGTGTCCAAACTGGTACTCTGCAAAGTCAGGAGCAGCAAAGACTGCATGCCATGTTAGACAGCTGGACACAGCATTTCTCTTTTAACCTAATTATACTGCCAGGCACCATTCCCAGCGAGGTCATTGATGAACAATAATGCAGTTTCATGGCAAATATACGGCATTTTCAAATGGTAAAACCCATTCAGCCAACAAGGGAACACACAAGAAATCTTGTGGTCATGAGCAGGGAGGATAGGGAGGACTAGATAGGAAAATCTAAACCATAAATGCCCAAATTCAGTAAGAAGCTTTTCTGATATTATCATGACCAGCTCCATTCCCTTCCCTCTGGAAGCTTACACAATTAGAAACACACCCTTGCAGTCTGTCTGACTCAACTAGCTCTGAGCCAGGCTTCTCTCCTTAACTGCAGGTTCCAAACTCCTTATTATACTGGAATTTTTCATGTAAAATTAAAACTGCAAAACAAGCTCCTTATCACAATGTGATAATGGAAAATTGTTGCACTTGCAGTCACAGTGGTTTGGGAGTTAAGGTGCATGTGTAATGGGAGGTTTAGTGTTCATGAGTGGTTTCAGATTCACAGTTTTGGAAACCCAGTTCCCTACAAATCATGGCATCACCAACAATCAAATGAGCTTCTCCATGTGCTGTCCTTCACCAAAACCCTCAGCCATGGCCTGCTGGAGGAGTCAGAGTCACTGGCCAATGGTCCTTGGCTCACAGTATCAAAGGAAAAGAAGAAAGTGCTGATTTCTTGGGATGCGAGTTGGCACTCATAGACTACAGCTCCAGCACCACCCGTGCACACCACAGAGATCATCGAAGGTCAGATCATACCACTCTGCAGTTACCATCACACTGTACCCAGAACACTGCCTGCAGGAAACAGGATCCATCAGGCCAAACCCATCAAAACACTCACCCTTGACTTCAGGCCATTTTAACTGCA